GCTCCAATGAGGCAGGGGTCTGGGGCACCTTCACTGAGCGGACAGGAGCTTCCAAAGGACCATCTGCGTCCTTTTCCTTCAGCTCCCTAAGGCGGCACAGTGAAGACTCCATCATGGAAAAGCATGTCCCAGCAGCCTTGGCGCCTCCGTGGGTGACAGGCACCGGGCACCCCCTTTCCTCTGGCCAGTTCTGGTTGAGGTCGGCACACCGTTCCTGGAACAACGGCCTCTGCATCTGCCCACTGCAGATTCATTCGTATTTTTAGTTCCCAAACCTTGACATCCAAGCTCCCGCTCCGTGGCTTCCGCAGCAGCCTGGCAAGCTTCCTGTGAAGTCGCCCGCTGCCGAGCTTCTGCAGCCTTCCTCCCGCAGAGCCAGTCGTCGGAGAGCAGGATCATCCCGGAAGACTGGAAGGTTGTTGCGACAGGAGTGGGTGGTGAGGAAGCCGAAGGCAGTCATCTCGGGACCTGGCTTCCCTAGACAGGACATGGAAGCGGGGGTGTCCTCTTCTGAGGAACGTCATTTAGCTTCTTCTCTCCCATTCTGCAACACACACATACACACACAGGCCACATGAACACGTGCACACATATGCACAAATATACACACAGTATACACATAGACACACATGCATTTCACACACAGTACCCATATGTGTGCATACACACATATGCACAAACACACACACAGTAAACACACTGTGCACACACATATGCATTCTACACACACAGCACCCACATGTACACATACACACAAACACACACGGTACATGCACTGTGAATACACACATGCCGTACACACACGCAATGCCTACATGTACACATGCACACATACACACAAACACACACGGTACATACACTGTGCATACACACATGCCGTACACACAGCACCTGCATGTACACATGAACTCATATGTACAAATACACATGCAGTATACATACATACACATATGCAATACACACACAGTACCTATATGTATGCATACACACATATGCACAAATACACACACAGTAAACACACTGTGCACACACATCTGCATTCTACACACACAGCACCCACATGTACACATGCACACATACACACAAACACACACGGTACATACACTGCGCATACACACATGTCATACACACCGCAATGCCTACATGTACACATGCACATGCACACAAACACACACGGTACATACACTGTGTATACACACATGCCGTACACACACGCAATGCCTACATGTACACATGCACACATAAACACAAACACACACGGTACATACACTGCGCATACACACATGCCGTACACACACGCAATGCCTACATGTACACATGCACACATACACACAAACACACACGGTACATACACTGCGCATACACACATGTCGTACACACCGCAATGCCTACATGTACACATGCACATGCACACAAACACACACGGTACATACACTGTGCATACACACATGTCGTACACACCGCAATGCCTACATGTACACATGCACATGCACACAAACACACACGGTACATACACTGTGTATACACACATGCCGTACACACACGCAATGCCTACATGTACACATGCGCACATAAACACAAACACACACTGTGCATACACACATGCCGTACACACACGCAATGCCTACATGTACACATGCACACATACACACAAACACACACGGTACATACACTGTGCATACACACATGCTGTACACACAGCACCTGCATGTACACATGAACTCATGTACAAATACACATGCAGTATACATACATACACACATGCAATACACACACAGTACCTATACGTATGCATACACACATATGCACAAATACACACACAGTAAACACACTGTGCACACACATATGCATTCTACACACACAGCACCCACATGTACACATGCACACATACACACAAACACACACGGTACATGCACTGTGCACACACACATGCCGTACACACACGCAATGCCTACATGTACACATGCACACATACACACAAACACACACGGTACATACACTGTGCATACACACATGCCGTACACACACGCAATGCCTACATGTACACATGCACACATACACACAAACACACACGGTACATACACTGTGCATACACACATGCCGTACACACACGCAATGCCTACATGTACACATGCACACATACACACAAACACACACGGTACATACACTGCGCATACACACATGTTGTACACACCGCAATGCCTACATGTACACATGCACATGCACAAATACAGTACATATGCTTTGCATACAAACATGCAGTACACACAGCACCTGCATGTACACATGAACTCATATGTACAAATACACATGCCGTATACATACATGCACACATGCAATACACACACAGTACCTATATGTATGCATATGCACATATATACATATTACACACACATACACACATGCAGTACACATAGTACCCACATGTACACATGCACACACATGTAGAAATACATACACAGTCCACACACTGTGCATACACACATGCAGTACACACATAGCACCTGCATGTACACATGCACTCATATACACAAATACAGTACACACACTGTGCATACACACAAGCAGTATACACACAGTACAGACATACAGTACACACAGTACCTATATGTATGCATAAGCACATATATACACATTACACACACACATGCAGTACACATAGTACCCACATGTACACACATACAGTACACACAGTACCTATATGTATGCATAAGCACATATATACACATTACACACACACATGCAGTACACATAGTACCCACATGTACACATGCACACACATGTAGAAATACATACACAGTCCACACACTGTGCATACACACATGCAGTACACACATAGCACCTGCATGTACACATGCACTCATACACACAATGCAGTACACACACTGTGCATACACACAAGCAGTATACACACAGTACACACATGTACACACATACAGTACACACAGTACCTACATGTATGCTTATGCACATACACACAGTACACACACACACATGAACTACCCACACAGTACCCACATGGACACATGCACTCATATGCACAAATACACAGTCCACATACTGTGTGTACACACATGCAGTACACACACAGTACCCACATGTACACATGCACTCATATGCACAAATACACACACAGTCCACACACAGACACACATACAGTACACACACAGTACCCACATGTATGCATATGCACACACACACTATGCACACACACAGTACCAGCATGTACACATATGCACGAAAAACACAGACATTACCCACAGACACAGTATACCCACATATACAAATAACACATATGCACAAATACACACACTGTATGTACACACATACAGTACATGCACACACTACTCACCTGTACACATACACACAAATACACACAGTATGCACACTACATGTGTACAGTGTATATACATGTAATATACACAGTACCAACATGTACACATACATATGTGCATGTGGTACACACAAATACACCCACATACACACGTACAATACACAATCATATACACAGTGCACATATATACACACAGTACTCACACATATACAAATACACACAGTACACACACATATAGTACACATAAATATACACACATACATGCAGTACACACACAGATACATGTATAGCACACCTATACACACCCATGCACACACATGTACACACATACACACACATCTCTACCAGAGATTCTGCATCTGATAGAATAGATGCTTCTCTTTCACACCTTAAGGCATCCAGGATAATTTTCTTTCTTGTTTTCTAAAATGTTTTAAATGTTTAAAATCCTTAATAGCATAATGAAGACAAGGTCTCTGGAAAAAGAGCAAAAAAAATCTCAAGAAAAAAAAAAAGCAGGCTGACATGATGACAGAGGGCAAAAATAGAAAGCTTAAATAAGAAAACAATGGAAGGAAACACGAAGGGAGCAGGGTAATAAAATCTACATAGATGTTGGGATGAAAAACAGCAAAATTGACATTAAAAAAATTTTAATCAGTGATGTGGAAGAAAAGCCTGTGGATCCTCCTAGACTGAAGATGCAAAGAAAAAGGTAAAAACGACGAGAGAGTGCATGATAAATATGGAGAACAGAGAAAAAAGATCAATTGTTGTACACTTTAAGGAAGAAATCATGACAGTAGAAATACAAGTCATAACAAAGGTGTTGGAGAAAATTTCAAAAACAGAAAAAAAAAACTAAGAGTTCAGGTCTAAAGGGGACACATGACCTTGTTCTAAATTGTTGTACACTTTAAGGAAGAAATCATGACAGTAGAAATACAAGTTATAACAAAGATGTTGGAGAAAATTTCAAAAACAGAAAAAAGAACTAAGAGTTCAGGTCTAAAGGGGACACAAGATTGATAATTAAGGCCAACAAAGGGAAAAGAACTTGGTCAGGTTTGCAAGATAAATTGGGTGGTACCTATTCTGTTCTCTTATTTGCTCAGGTGCATGTGTGTGTGTAAAGGGAGAGATGGAAATAGCAGAGAGGAAAAGAATTCAAGGGAGAAATCATCTCAAAGGTGGCCGCAGGCTCCATGATTAAGACCCTGGTATCAGGCAGTCCTGGCATGCTTTCCAGCTCCTTCACCAACTAGCCAGCTAGTCTTGAGCAGGTCAGCTCACTCCTCTGGGACCCGCTTCTCTCTCACGTCACACATAAAATAGAATAAAAGTAGTTGGACCTTCGTCATAATGTTCTCATGAGAGTCCAGTGAGCTAAGGCATGCAAAGCTCTTAACGAGTGGCAGGTACAGAGTGAGCACTTCAAAGAGATTAGCTACTGTTACTGATATTGAGAGAGAGAGAGAGAGAGACAGAGAGAAAGAGAGAGAGAGGGAGGCAGGCAAAGGCTGAATGTGAATTGTCTTAGCTATCTCAGGTTAAAGAATAAGACAAAAGCAAGCAAGACACCAGAGCTTTAGGAAAGTCAAATCCAGGGTTATGCTCTGCAGGGTAAAGTACATGGGACAACGGCATTAATGAAGCACTTCTAGGGATGGGCATGAGCCACGCATCTGAGCATCTGAGCATCCGGGCTTTCAACCGGGGCCATCCTCTTTATCCTGCTGTGGCATCAGCAAGGTCTGGAGCACAGGTCGGTGTATGGGCTGTCCTACATGTCCCACTGGAAGTTCCAGATGGTGCATAGGTGCACCGGGTAAGAGGAACACCGGTGTGGCTAGGCTTTAATGACCTACTTGAGACTAACCTGCTTTCCCATGGGAGGAAGTCCTGCTTGAGAGTTCTGTAGATCCTAAGCTAGACTTACAGCTTAAGGAGGACCAAAGTCTTAAATCATATCGCTTTAAATATACAGTGATAAGTCACTTTGGAGAGTCACAAATGTTTTGAGCTAGAAAGACTATTTGAAATTGGGTAGCTACCTGCTCCCTTCCCCATGTCCCAGAGGAGGGAAAGGGGGTGCAGCCTGTGGAAATGAGCTGCATACACGTCTCCTAATGGCAGGAGTCTAGAAGACGGGCAATCCCATCATGCCATTGATAGAGAATTTGGGTTACAAAGGACTTGTGGCTCCATGGGTTCATACAGTCCTTCTGACAATCCTGATGCAGATAGAACAGCAATGATTCATTCTGTGTAATTATGAGCAAAGCCAAGCTGCAGAGTTTGTTCTCACAGCCAGCAAGTTGCAATGCTGGGACTAGATTCGGATCTCAGGACACCTAGACCAACACATTTTCTGCTTAGCATCACCACCCCTCTGGATTTCAGAAAGAAAGCGTCGTGTGCCTTTCATTATGATTATACAGCATAACCCTCCCATAAGTTAATGAATCTTTAAAGGGTACAATCAAGAATGAATGAGTTGATTGATAAATGAGCAAATGGATGCATAAATGAATGAATTGGATAAATTCTGGGAGAGTAAAATAGATATTTCTCATTAAAATTTCAATTGACCTATTAAACACGGGATCCCCTGGGTCCTCTCTTTCCAGCTGACCTACAAAGCAATGAGGAAATGTTATTGTAGAAATGCCAAATTCTATCCACATTCTCCACTTATTCTTCTCATTTATTCTAGTCTCTTTAAGAGAGAGTTTTAAGCATAAACTATCCAGGAGCCTCCCCTCACCCCCTCACAATTATTACATTATTATATGAGAGATTCATGGAATTATAGCATCTCTTTTTTGGAAGGAACGGAAAAAATAGATTTCCTTCTGAAGAGAGAAAAGGAAAATGGTCGGTGCAGTCCAAAAAGGCTAAGACTTGGGAGTCTCTAGTTACGTGAAAGAATTTAAGAGAATAATGTATATTTCTAATAATTTCTCACTCAAAGAAGATATTTGGTTGATTTTATTTGGAGGATTTATGTCTTTCAAAGTCATTAGAGCCACAGCTCTTAGCTTTACAACTTTGGTGTATGCCTTGCAAAAGCGTTTTGAAGTTTGTCTTATGCCCTCCTATTATTAATGTTTTGAACATCACCTCTTCCAAGAAGCCTTCTCTGATAGCTTCCTTCCCTTTTTCCAGATCAAATGAATCACTCTCTACTCTGTACCTTCCTTGAACCCTCTACATTCTTTAATAATTGCAACATTTTCCAGAGGTATCCATCAAGGTCCCTCAGTGGCAAACAGCAGAACCCAACTCTGGGTGACTTTTGTGGAAAAGAGTTGATTTGGAAGCTTGAAAGTCAGAAGGAAGGCTGAACAACTAGTTTGAGAGGATGGGAATGGGGCCAACTCCAGGGGACTTGATAGCAGGAACCGACGCTGTTGGGATGCATCAGTTTGACCATTTTCCTTCTTGTGTCACTCTACTCCAGATTGTCTGAGCTTGCGGAGGGCACCTGCCCCTTTCTTGGCCAGAAGATGGCAGAGTTCCTCAGCTGACCTGACCCGCCCATCCAAATCCATCTGCTGTTTCTAGAAGATGGGGATGGGTAAAGTGAGAGGTCCACAGTCCCACCCTGTAGTGTAATTGTTGGCATCCGTGTTTGTCCTCTAACCCCGCGAGTCTAGGATCATCTTGAAAGCAGGAACTGTGTTTTCTTCAGATGTTCAAATTAATGTGAGTCAGCACCTCAATGGCGTCAAGGTGATGCAAAGGGTATGCCCAAGGAAGGTAGGCTGCCTACCAGATGCAAATGTCTTCTCCAGCTGTCTCTGAGAGATTCTCCGTGAACACAGATCTGACACCTTTAAGAAGAATCTAAAAAAGCTGCACTGAGTCAATATATCCCATCTTCCTTCCAGTTCTTTTTAGGGAGAGATAAAGAATGATGATAACCTAATGTGACACCTTTTCGTTTCTAGGGGAACTCTGATAAGTGCTGAATGGATGATAGGGTTTCCAGAACCACCAGAACTAGCTTTTCTTTTCTTTTTTCTTTCCTGCTGCTGAAAATTTATTTCTGGTAGTCATTAAAATTCTGCTCCTACCATTGTAACAAAGGATGGAAAACACTAGGTACAGTATGTGGAGTGTATGTTTGTGACGACGAGAGATGAGTACCTTCCAACACTTTGGGATTTTATGAATGATTTACATCTGGTGCTAAAGTTCACAAATGAAACGTGGGGGAAGCAGATGCTTCATTTCTTGACTGCATCGTGCCTTCCCATACTGATGGGGAATTGAAAACAGCGAGGTCTCATAAATCAACAAAATCTATTTTTGTGCCTCTTGATCTCCACTCTGCACATCCATATAATACCCAAACAAATGTGCTGAAATTAGTTCCTCAAGAAGCCCTTTATGTTTAGTAACAGTGTGGACATGTTAATAAAAAGAACACAGGAATAAAAGTGGACCAGTGCGGGGAGAGGGAAGGCACGGGGGTGTGAGCGAAAGGAAACAAACCTCGGAGTAGATGAACTCTTCCAGAACACATATTTTTGGAGAGTGGGGAAGGAAGTGTGGCGTCGTGCAGAACAGATGAAGGAGGACCTGCTCTGGCCATCCTGGGGCAGCCCTAAGTTGGAAAGAGTTGATCTGGGTAAAGAAGGATGTTGAATTGCAAATGAAAAAGAACCCACATCTGGAAATGAACTTAAGTTGGTAATTGGAAAATCATGGAAAGATACTTGTAAAGAAGACAGGGAGCTGATGTTTTGTACTTCTTTCTCCTCTCTCTCATTGTTTCTTCCTTTCCTTCCTTTCTTTTTTCCTCCCTCCTCCCTGCTCCCCTCTCCTCCCTCCCTCCCTCCCTCCCTCCTTTCCTCCCTCCCTTCCTTCCTTCTCTCCCTCCCTCCCTCCCTCCTTCCCTCCCTCCCTCCTTCCTTCCCTCCTTCTTTCCTCGCAAAATTTGATCTTGTAGGAAACATGGTGACTCTGTACAAGAAAGTAGCACTTTCTTCAGAGTTTTATGCTGGGCCAGGCTCTGCAATCAATATTCGAGATTGTTTTGCTCATCTTGGTATCCCTGCCCCCATCCTGGTTCCAATTCATTGAATTTCTCCTCTGATTATTCACATGTACCCCAAAACCTAAAACGCAATGAAATATATATTAAAAATAGTCCAGTTTATCAACCTAAATTTTTACTGTAGCATCTTCTATGTCTCTTTCATTGTTTCATGCCCTATCTAACAAACAGAATTTCAAATTTCTTAAAGGCAGAGACTTTGGGGGCAGATAATTTGTCATTTCTTAAGGACAGAGACTATTGTGTTTTGGTGTGGGGTTACAAAACGCAGTCTTTTCAATACCAAGTAGGGGACATAGGCTTGGCCTGATTCCATTCCATTCTACAAGCATGGTATGCAAGCCTCCAGCAGGGTAGAGAAGGTAGACTCCATGCTGTGAACATAAACTTGGTAAGATGAAGTCTCTCCTTGCAAAGGCCTCCCATTTGATGAGGAGAGGCGGGACTGTCTATAACGATAAGAGATCTAGAGCTATGCTGGGTTGAGATTCAAAGCACATTGAGAGCCACAATAGGAAACTAGCAATTATTTCCAGGGAACCCCAAGGGGTTTCACGGAGGAGGTAACTTGAGCTGAGCCTGGAAGAAGATGCATTTTGAGGCATGCAGTAACTGGAAAGGCAGGAATAGACTAAGAAGAGATGCCTATTACTTTTGCTTTTTTTCCTTCTAGCCAGAAGAACCACATTCATTATAATGAAGCAATGGTTTTCTAAATTAATTGCCTTGGGAATGGTAAGAGTTAAGGTACACCTTATACTGTGTCTAGCTTATATCCAGGAAGGAGTTTATTCATTCACAGTTTCTAGCTGGTTGACTTTTACAAATGAAGCAATAAACACAACAATATTAAATATGCATCTATAATATGTCTTCACATTTATTTCCATTGCCATCACTCTCAAGTACCCACCAAATCTTTTGTTGAATTTTCTCCCCTTTGTATATGAGCTTCTAAATGCAAGAGACTTTTTGATTTACGGATTTCCTCTACATTTAGTTAAAATGAAAAAAAGACAAGAAAAAAACAATTTCCAGCTCTGTCCTGAAGCCTGTGTTGCATTTTAAAAATTCAAGTTTTGGTTCATTTTGAAAACTCCATATTGGAAAGATTACAACCTTTTAAAAGGAGCCAGAGTAGGGCAGAATTGATGTGATAATATTAACTATTGGATTAAAAAAATAAACATAGCTGCTGTATTAACAGATGAAATGCAATATTGTAATTAACCAATTTTCTGACAATTTTCTAATACATAGACCACGTCCAATTTAAGAGAACTTAAGATATATATATATATAATGTGCATTTTACTATAATTAGGTGACTCTTTTGTGGGGGAGTTCTTGATAACACTGAATAACCCACACCCTTCTTCACCGAGGAAGTTACTAAATGAAGAAAAAGAGAGGTTCTGTAGTCTCCCTTAGTTACCATTCTGTTCAGAATATGTCCCCACCTAATATAACTTGCTATGTGTCATAAAATACAAAGGGAAGTACTTTTCATGCCAAATATCAGAGAAGTGCTCTCTTTTCTATACTGCACAAGTCACAGAAATGATGTGTTCATTTTAAATTCCATTCATGTAGGTTCTAATAAAAGCTATTATAAAATACAATTGTGTGGAGACAAAAAGAGAGATAATATCACTATAGCTCAATATAAAATTTAAGTAATTAAGACATGAAAACTATTA